TAGCAATGACTATACAGGGTGGCGCGCCTCATTCGCCTCGGTTGATTATACGAAAACGGAAAGATGTAGAAACAAAATATTTTATGGGTATATGTGGGGAAATGTCCACAATTTAAAATTATTTTGAAATATACGGGGTGTGTTTCAGAACTAAAATCCATACCAAAGTTATATTTTTTCTTATGGAACACCCGGTATTTTATTTCATTTTTGGATTCTTGGGCCCAAAAAAAGGCATTTATTATAAGGGTTAAATATGTTTAAAATCTTTAGTTTTTGAGATATTTAAAGATATTTAAATTTGCATGCTACAATAGAATAGACTATTAACACCCTGTACAGGGTGGGTCAAATTAGACGCTTTTAAATGGAAACACCCTTTCCTCTAGCAGATAGACGAAAACTAATATCGGTGTCTGGAGCTCAATTTTCATCAAAAACATGATGGTGAAAACCGCACATCAATATCTGTTACCGTTTCGGAGTTACGGGTGTTTTTCAAAATGTGCATTTTAACAAATCGCTGTAACTTTTTTACTATGGAAAATTTTGTATTTCTATGAAAACATTTTCAAAGCACCTTTTTACGTAGAATTTAATGGTTTAAGTATAATTTTTTTTAAAATTAATAATTTAAGAGTTATCAACAAAAAAATTGATTTTTTATTTGGGACACCCTCTATATTTTTAATAAACTGAAAAGAATTTAAAATTACCTTTCCAAAAATATAGCACACTTGATATTTTGTTATAATCTCCTTCGAAATACAGAATTTTTAAAAGTTCGCCACTTTTAACTAGTAGGCTTTGGACTTTGGACCCCTTATTGATGATATGCCCTTAATGGAACTCGAAAACATATTTTTCCAGCAAGACGACGCACCGCCTCTGAACGCTGAAGTTATCAGCAAATTTTTGCAGCCAATTTCAAGAATAATTGAATAGCTAACCAAGACCCCAGCCGTTGGCCGTCGAGGCCGCCTGACTTGGTGCCCATGGACCTAATCCCATGGATATATTTGCGGAAGAATAAAGGTTCCTTATTCTTCCGTATAATCTAGACAAGAATTAGAAATACTTAGCAGTTATGAGAGGGTATATTTCATATCTACTGAGTTAATGAATTCCGCGAGAAATGTTCAAAAACTGCCCCGTCTGTCCATAACAGAAGACGGTCGATATGTCGAACACCTGTAGCAAAATCTTATGTCTTGGTTTGCTATTTATTTTTATTGTTATTAGATATAGTTTAAATAAATGTTGGTTAAATATATTTTAAATTATTATAAAATTCTGCATCTCTCATAGCAAATATTATTTTCGTTTTAATTAATGCTTACAGCTAGAATTTTTTTGCATTACAGCCGGTGCCGTTCAAAGCCTACTTGTTTAAAGCCGGCGAATTTTTATATACTCTATATCTCGAAGAGGAATCGAGCAAAATATCAAGTGTGTTATATTTTTTTGGAAAGGTAATTTTAAAGTATTTTTAATAAATTAAAAATATACAGGGTGTCCCATATAAAAAATCAAATTTTCTGTTGATAATCCTTAAATTATTAATTTTAAAAAATATACATAAACCATTAAATTCTACGTTAAAAGGTGCTTTGGAAATGTTTTCATAAAAATACAAAATTTTCCATAGCAAAAAAGTTACAGCGATTTGTAAAAAATGCATATTTTTGAAAAACACCCCGTAACTCCGGTAACAGATATCGATATGCGGTTTTCACCATCACATTTTTGACAAAAATTGAGCTCCAGACACCGATATTAGTTTTTGTCTATCTCCTATAGAAAAGGGTGTTTCCATTTAAAAGCATCGAATTTGACCCACCCTGTACATAACTTTTCAGAATTAATTCTTATGCTGAGTTTAAAGGTATAGAAATAAACTTTACTGAAAAATGGTATTGGTTCCTTAAATTTCTACAGGGCTAGCAAAAGTTGTTGATCTATTTTAAGGATATATTTTTATAAAAACTTCGTTATTTCAAATGCAACACCCTGTATTTTTTTAAACAAATTGAAGGAGATTCAAATTCTCTTTCAAACTATATTATAGTTTCCTATACCTATCTAGCTCAGATTTTGAATAAAAAGCGATTTTTAAATAAAATTGCAATCAAGATGGCTGGTGTCGCCATGGCACTTTTCTAGTGACAGTTAGTAACTATTTTCAAAGTCGACATTTGTTTAGGGACATTATTATTTATAGTTTATAACAGTTTACGTAAATTTACCTACAATAGTTTAATAAGTAAGTACCAATTCATTATTTTATCAAGAAAAATAAAGTAGTATCTGCTGGCGGAACGAATAGAAATGTTACTAGTGATATTATTTTGTGTGTATAAGGGCTTATGCTCAAAGATATCCAAATAGGAATCCTGATAAGCCTTTCTTTGAGAAACTTCTTGTCCTATTTTGCTATTTATAAAAAAACTATTAAGCAGAAACCTGTCGTTGGAAGTGAATAAAATTAATTTGCCGTAATTGGCTATTTTATAGAAATCCATATATCTACAAGTCATCGTAAAATAATTCAAAGAACTACTTCTTCGTTTTTCTTGATAGAATAATATACACATATTTAATAAATATTTTTTATTAAACTATTGTAAGGTAAATTAAATAAAAGCTTTGAATAAGAAGACTAAGGAAGGATATCTTTGGATATCAAAAATCTTAGGTCCACCGCGATGGGCCTCAAATATGGCCGACTTAAATTCCGGTTTATCAGTGCCGTTCTAATTTTATTTAAAAAATGTAAAACTATGATGTAGGGTAGACGTGGGGTAGACGCAATATTTTTTTTTATTTTACGTTGTGAATAAATGTTGGTAGTTATTAAAATTGTTATAAAATATAAAATTCTAATAAAAATAGTTAAGTTATAATAATTATTTATAACCATAAACATCCGATACGCTACTGAAGCAGGTAAGTCAAATTGACGTATCTAATTTCTTTGACATCTAATCTTTGACAAGTAGTAAATAAAAGCAAAAATGCAAGTAAAAATATATAATTAGTTAATTTAAGTGAATTTCATAAATGATCGGTTTACTACACGTATGTATATTATATAGTCACTTACTAGAGAAAAGTTGTTCCATTATTTCACACATTTTTGCCGAGATCTACCGCACGCTACACAACCAACTATTTTAGAGTCTTTTTCGATAAATCGCGATAGTGTCACTGCTAATTTAATTTCTGCCACAATTTCCATCTAGATTTACTACCTTTATACAACTATCAGTAGTAGAATAAATAATGAATAACATAAAATAAGCTCCGTAAAGACTGACAAATTCACAAAATTGCAAATCAAATTCAAATGTGTCAAATGAATCGCCAAACAGAACTGTCAAGGGTCCCCACCCTAGAGTCCTTTTTCCGTCCACCATGCATGAATACATGGATAGCATTATGCACCTTCCTTAAGTCTTCTTATTCAAAGAATAAAAGTAAACTGGTATAAATTTAAATAAGTCCATAAACTAATTTCGATTTTGAAAATAGCTACTAAATGTCACTAGAAACTTGCCATGACAACACTAGCCATCTTGATTACAATTTTATTGAAAAATCGCTTTTTATTCAAAATCTGAGCCAGAAAGGTATAGGAAACCCTAATATAGTTTTGAAAGAGCATTTAAATCTGCTTCTACTTATTTAAAAAATACATAGTGTTGCATTTGAAATAACGAAGTTTTTATGTAAAATAAATATTTAAAATAGACCAGCAATTTTTGATACCCCTGTATACATTTAAGGAAGGAAAAACATTTTTCTGTAAAGTTTATTTCTCTACCTTTAAACTCAGCACAAGAACTAATTCTGAAAAGTAATCTACAGGGTGTTGATAATCTATTCTATTGTAGCATGCAAATTTAAATATCTTTAAATATCTCAAAAACCAAAGATTTTAAACATATTTAACCCTTATAATAAATACCATTTTTTGGGCCCAAGAATCCAAAAATGAAATAAAATACCGGGTGGTCCATAAGAAAAAATATAACTTTGGTATGGTTCTTATTTCTGACCCACCATTTCAAAATAATTTGAAATTGTACACATTACCTCCCCACATATACCCATAAAATATTTTGTTGCTACATCTTTCCGTTTTCGTATAATCAACCGAGGGGAATGAGATGCGCCACCCTGTATAGACACGTACGAAGAAAAGTATAGAGCTTTATCGGAGCACTATGTATGTTTAGTTCAATACAATTAAAGGGTCCAGGGGGAAAACCACTGGGAAAAACATGATAAGCGCCATTTTACTAATTTAACAGGAGAGCACCGGACGCGGTGCGTGGTTATCAGAGGTTATTTCCGTGTATTCTAGATTTTTACTAGGCATGTATCATAGGATTTAACAACTTATTGCTCTGCAGAGTTTATACATTTTGTAGAGCCCAGTTAGACCTATTTATAATATTGTAAAATCCAAAAATTAAGAAATTAGCGCTTATCAAGTTTTTTCCTTGGATGCTTCAATTTGAAACTAAAATTTGAATATAGAGTAGTTTAAATGTAAATAACAAATTTAAAAACATATTTACCATCTTACTGGAATACAAAATCACAATATTAACATTCTCTAACTTTTCCTCAACTCAAATAAAAATTAGAAAAATTTGAGAAAAAATGAATAAATCTCAGAAACAAATAAAAAATGAAATAACTCCTTGTGCCATCTATGTGCGCAAGGCTTAAACTCCTAATTAACAGAAGTAGACATTGTCCTTGTATTGTCAATCTGAGTTTTTAATACAGTTTTTAAATATATTATGTATAGTATCTATATTTTCTTTTCACTTTTTTTTGGTAATTTTATGGTGTTAAGATTACAATATTACACATATATTATGAAAATTTTAAATTAATTTTTTGATTATTAAAAATGATGTGGGTCTTATGCAACTTAAAATACAGTAAGTTTTTGACAATCTGATGTTTGTCAATGTCGTTTGTCGTCGTCTGTTGTTTTGTCATTTGTCTTTGACACTCTATGTCAATTTTCCGTGTTTTGAATAATCTCCAAAAATAATATCGACAAATACTATAATTACTTTAAACAAAATGACTACATTCAATCAATAACAGTGAATTGTAAATTGCACAGCTTGTACAGTTTATCTCCCTAGAAGACGAATCCTTTCCTCCAAACAGCATCATTTCTAGTATTTTTCTTACATAGTTGTATGATTCATCAGTTTATTACTATAATCTTTATCATTTAAGCTTAGTGCATATTAAAAATGGCATCAGGTACTACATTACAAAAAGCAATAGATTTAGTAACAAAAGCCACTGAGGAAGACCGAAATCAGAACTATGCCGAAGCTTTGCGTTTATATGAACACGGAGTAGAATACTTCTTACATGCTATTAAATGTAAGTATTACCCTATTATATTCTCGGAAATTTGATAAAATTATGGTTTATATTAGATGAAGCACAAGGAGAGAAAGCTAAGGAAAGTATTAGGGCTAAATGCGTTCAGTATCTCGAAAGAGCTGAGAAAATTAAAGAATCAATAAAGAAAGGAAAGAAAAAACCTGTTTTAGACGGAGGTTCGAAGTAGGTTTAATTATTATAATAATGTAAGTTTATTTTATTTATAAAAAATTATTTAGAGAAGACAAGAAGAACAGTGACAGTGATGAAGACGATGATGACCCAGAGAAAAAGAAATTACAGACTAAATTAGAAGGGGCTATAGTTGTAGAAAAGCCTCATGTTAAATGGTCGGATGTAGCTGGGTTGGATGCAGCTAAGGAAGCTTTGAAAGAAGCTGTTATACTACCCATCAGGTTTCCTCATTTATTTAGTGGCAAGAGAGTACCTTGGAAAGGAATTTTACTTTTTGGGGTATGAACATTAGTTATTTTAGACATAGTTTGTTTATTCTGAGTTAGAAATGATCAATTATGTATCTATTTAGCCTCCAGGTACTGGTAAATCATATTTAGCCAAAGCTGTAGCCACAGAAGCAAACAATTCAACTTTCTTCTCAGTATCTTCTTCGGATCTTGTTTCGAAGTGGCTGGGAGAGTCAGAAAAGTTAGTGAGAAATTTATTTGAATTGGCCAGAGCACATAAACCAAGTATCATATTTATTGATGAAGTAGACTCCTTATGTTCATCTAGGTCAGATAATGAATCTGAGAGTGCTCGTAGAATAAAAACTGAATTTTTAGTTCAAATGCAGGGTGTGTTACATTGTATGATATGTGTAAGGATTTGTGTGTTTATGTATGTATTTATTACAGGTGTCGGTCATGATACTGAGGGTATTCTGGTGCTAGGTGCTACAAATATACCTTGGGTTTTGGACGCGGCTATAAGGCGACGTTTTGAAAAACGTATTTACATTCCTCTGCCTGAGGAACATGCACGAGCGACAATGTTTAAAATACATTTGGGCAATACGAGGAATGTGCTAACTGAAGAGGATATTAAGGAATTGGCAATGAACACTGAAGGGTAAGTTACACTGAACATGTTATATTTTCATGTGTTTTTCAAAAAACATAACTTGATACAATAAATTAAAGTAGTATCATTTATGCAAAATTAACATATTTGCCAAATTCAGCTTTCAAAACAGTTGTGATATTTTTTGCTGATGTATAGGGCTTATCTTTTACCCCACAGGAAATATATTGTTAAAATATTTACTTTTTTATTTAACATATTGTAAATACACTGTTCCTATTAATAAATATATGGTGATCATGTCTTAAAAAGTCGTTATATACATATTTTAAAGATAAATATTTAATAGAAAAAATAATATTGCTAATGTTTAGCAGTAAATATACACAAGGCGTTTATGCAATTTGTACAAAATAAATATGAATTTTTATATTTCTAGTTTTGTTTATAACTTGCAGTTAAAATAGAATAATCATATTTGTGTATATTTATCTTTTGGTAATTTCTATAATAGTACAAATTAGTATATTTACTAATAATAAACACAAATACTATAAAAATATAATAGTAAACTAATATACCTGTGATATATTGGTTTATCTGAGGGTGTATCCTAAACAATTTGATTCTACTGGGTGCGTCTGAAAAGTGGCCCACCCCTATAACTTTTTTCATTTTTCAGTTAAAAAACGAGATTTGGTATGTTAGTATATGACATAAATTAGGATTGATTAACATATTCAATTGTTTTCGGTCACTTCCTGTTTTACCGGAAATGACTACAACTTTTGATTTTTAAATGACACCCTCGGTATTTTTTTACTTTATTCGATAGAAAATAACACTCTGAATAGAATGACATATCACATGTCAACTTCTGACATTTTCGCATACGGTTTATTTGAAATTATAACTTGCGGTTTGTGACGAAAATTTAACTCGAAATACCAAGTGTATGGTATCAAATTATTCATAAAAAAATGCTTTTTCCAAATATGCTAATGAGCCACCCTCGTTCCATTTGAAAAAATTGAGATATGAGTAAAAATACGATTTGAGCATTTTCTAACTGGCCAGGACAAGACACTAAAAACATTAAACTGTGGCACTTCTTCAATTCAATTTTTTATTAAGCGTGAATGTCAAAAGTTGATATATGATAGTCATTCTATTCAGAATATCATTTTGTATCGAATAAAATAAAAAAATACTGAGGGTGCTATTTAAAAATCAAAAGTTGTAGTCATTTCCGGTGAAACAGGAAGTGATCAAAAACAATTGAATACGTCAATCAATCCTAATTTATATCATATACTAACATACCTAATCTCGTTTTTTAATCTGAAAAAAAAAATAAAAAAGTTGTAGGGGTGAGCCACTTTTGAGACACACCCGGTATAGTATACTAGTTTAAAGTACAAAAATTAAATACAAGATTACTACATCACACATTCTCTTCTTTATTTCTATTACAAAATAACAAGTTTCCGACTTATGAATTAAGGTCTTAAGAAAAAGAGAACTTTTAGAGTATATTTTAATTTGAATACTACCATTATCTGGCCAATATTTTTATATGCCTTGTATTTTTTATTTTAAATATACTTTAATTATAATAAAATTTATATTTTAGATCGTATAACACAAATATATCTACACAAATACCGACTATACTTACATCACAGTTTGGATATTTTTTGAATAAATATTTATCTATACAATAGATCAATAAAATTCAAATGTTAGTAATTATAACGGTTTTTTGTCTGTATTTTGCAAAACTATTATGTTATTAATGATATTTTTTTATTGTTCTTATTTAAATTAATATTGTAGTAGTTTTTATTTAAAATTTAAAATTCAAGATTAAAAAAGCTTAATGTTTTTTAAGCCTAGTCCTCAGAGAAATCTAGGGACAACTATCACTTTCCAGCAGTGGTGGACTAAGGGGGCGGTCCGCCCCGGGCCCCGTCTTTAAGGGGGCCTCCGAATCTTAATAAGTAATTGGCAAACAACGCCAATATATGTGTTCAGTAGTTTTAAACCAGTTTGTAGGTGGAGTAAGCAAACCATACATATACGCCAACTATAAACAGTATAAATGGAAGCAGATATTTACTTAATTATCAATTATCAGGCCCCAATAATTGTCAATGTCATTTTCTATTTAGGAAATTAAATCAAGGGGTAATTTTCTTTGTTTAAAATATCGAATAATTATTATTTTTTATATATTTTGAGACTGAATTTATTTACATATTTTAGCTTTTTAGTTATTTTTCATTTTTTCATTATTTATTTTTACCGAATAAACATTTTAAATTACAACCAATGCACAGCATAACTTGTATTCTAGCTTCATTACTGATGATGAGCAGTGAAGTCTTTAGTATAACGGGGGCCACGGGCCTGAGACAGCGAAGGGGTTCCTCGGATTTTGGAGGACTTACAAAATCGCGATATTTTGTCGCGGTATTTCCCTGGAAGCATTTTTAAGAAAAAAAATATTTAAAATTTTTGGACGAAAAAAAATACCTGTCAAAAAATTGTGTACAGCCTAAAAGTCAAATTTAGTGATTATCACAGCCCCTGTGATATAAAGAAAAGACATGTGGCTATCTATTTCAAAAATTAAATTGTTTAAATGTCATATAATAATGGCGGTAGCTGTCATGGAATTGAGCGATTAAAAAATTACCATAAATATTTTTTTTTTCAAATGGAAACCCACTTTTTTTATTTCACTAGTGAAAAGGTTTTCCAATTCGTTACGTTTTAACGTTTAGACATATTCCTATACTTAAAATAAATCGTTTTTAAGTTATTTAAGATTTAGTTTGAAAACGTATATTTTTCTTGCTTTTATCTAGCTTCCTTTGACATTAAGTGTCAAACAGTCAGACAATTTATTTCCATCTGTCAGAAAATGAATATTTGAATTTCCTATATTATAACTACTGCTGCCTTAAAAGTTTAAAAAGTGTATTTATATAAATATATCTCCATATTTTCGTTCTTTAGTGATATCTAATAGTTGATATTTTAATAATATACCGTACGATCGAAAAAAAAAACAGCGCACAGTTAGCTTGGAAATGACGACGATAATATTCTGTCATAGGCTACTTGTTAAAATCAAGAAAAATATACGCTTTAAAGCTAAATCTTAAATAACTTAAAAACGATTTATTTTAGGTACAGGAACATGTATAGTCAAAAAGTAACAAATTTTAAAAACGAAAGTAACGAAAGCCTTTTCACGAGTGAAATAAAAAAAGTGGATTTGCATTTGAAAAAAAAATGATTTATGATAATTTTTTAATCGCTCAATTCCATGACAGCTGCGGCTATTATTATATGACATTCGGACAATTTAATTTTTGACATAGATAGTCACATGTTTTCTCTTTATGGTACAGTGGCTGTGGCAGTCACTAAATTTGACGTTTAGGCTATATACATATTTTTGACAGGCAGTTTTTTTCCTCCAAAAATTAGAAATATTTTTTTTCTCAAAAACGGTTAACGTTAGGTATAGTGTTTAATATTAAAATTCATAAAATTTTACAGAGAATTTAAGTATGTAATAAAAAATGGGGTCACCTATTTAAAATAAGAAAGTTGCTATATTGAAAATATTTTTAATCGATAGATCTCATTGTGAAACAATGATATGCACAAAATCTCATATCTAGATATTGTAGTTCTCTAAAAACTGTAAGGCTATTTCTTTGGTTCTGTGAAAAATAGCCTTATTGACGCCTAGTGGTAAATCTAGATCTCTCGGGCGCCACCTCTGTGATTTATAGTGGCAGAGGCCCACGTTTGCCAGTACGGGTAGCCTTTAAACAGTGGAGACTCCAGGTATGAAGGGGTGCAGGTAAAGTCAAAATAAAACAATCAGTTTAAATTAAAATAATATAAACAATCTTTATTAACCTCAAATTCGTTGAGAAGCAGCCGTAAAGTCTTGGCTCAGGGGTTTCGCGCAAAATGGCGCGGAGTAAGGTTCTACGCAAGCGCGAGACTTTCTATTTTTCTAACCAAGGGCGCATGCGCGGCCTGAAATGCAGACGTAGATGGATGGATAGCTCACCCTAGTATTTGCGGTCGGGGAATGTACTGCGCATGTGTTAACTTTCGAAAGTTAGGATGACTTTCGAAAGTCGTCTGGTCCTAACCCAGCGCTTCAGTCAGCTACGCAGTGCCTTGTTACTTTCTAAAAAAACGGGCACCGCATGCGCACCGGGACGAAGACGGCAGGCGGCCTCCTGACGTCTGTCGGGTAGCGCAGGCGTGGCAAGATCGCGAAATCAAAAAGTTACTAGTTAAACCCTATCTTAACCCGGAGACGAAACTTGTTTTCGTTTGTTCACTAACCCACAATCTAACCGTACGTGAAAACAGCACCCACGGTCAAAATTGTAGGTTTTCACGCTTTCCTTCAATCACGGATGGATTAGGCCAGGAAACGCCTCCCGACAGTACTTGTGAAAGTACTGACCAAAGGACGCCACCTACTGCTCTGCCTAGTCAGCCACCTTTGAAAGACAGAGAACGGCCTTTCACAATTTAATGTAAAGCCGCTCACCGCTTTTCCGAAGGCGTTGGCTAAGACACACGTTCACGTGATTGAGTGAGGAAAACTGAAAGGAAAGTTTTCAAACGACAAGCTTCACTTGATGAAAAACGTGGCGTAGCACTACACTAGAAAAGACACTGCGCAGGACAGGATATTGCGGAGAGTAGTCGGGTGAGCACTTTCTAGAAAGCGAGGCTTTCTATCGAGTTTTTACCTTCGGAGGAGCAGAGTTCAGCTGTCGTCTAATCGCCAACCCAGGTACCAAGCAACTGCCTACTTTTGATTTTCTAACGGTACTGCTCTCGTCTACCGGAGTGGGGAAAGCAGCACACAGTGGGGACAACGGCGCGCGCCGTATCCCCGCCACTATCGATCGATACGAACCAAGACTCTACTGCTTGCTTTTAACAAAATAATCATTTTATAAATAATTTGATAATTACAAGCTAATTAATTTAATCACTACAAATTAATTATCACAAAAATTAAGTAACATCGTTACATACCCCCCTTGCTTCGGATAAAAAAAAAAAATATAGGAACATATATATATTTTTTTTTTTTTTTTCAGCTATGCTGAGTCAAATAAAACAACCTCAAAAACAAAATTTTATTAGTCTTTACTTAAGTCTAACTTATCTAATAATATAACCCTTTAGTTTACTCAAATCATCCGTTATTAAGGAAATAAAACACGTACCAAAACAAAATTTTATTAGTCTTTACTTAAGTCTAACTTATCTTAAAAAAAAACTTAACCCTTTTAGTTTACTCAAGTCATCCGTTATTAAGGAAATAAAACACGTACCAAAATAAAATTTTATTAGTCTTCACTTATATCTAATATTTTACTAATCTTAAACCTCCAGTAAATAAAGCATTTTCAAAAAAAGACTTATTAAACCAAAATTTATTATTTCAAAGAAAAACAATTAAATTCTACTACCACTTAGGCTATGCTAAATTAACAAAAGCAAAAACAAATAACATTTTCCATACGATATACTTAAATTTTCCTATCCTAAGTATATTTATAAAAAATAAAGAAAGATTCTCTGGCGGACGTCTCCAGCCCTTAACGTCGGCAATGCGGACACCTCCCGCGCGTCTCTGATGTTGAGTCCGGGCCCCTCCGGCGCGGAATGTTGGTTCGCTGTCGTGGTCTCTTTTTTTGTTGGCCCCCGGTGTTTGGTAGTGGATTGGTTGGGCGCACCGCCCGGAATTGTCCACAAGGACAATCTCTTGATTTAATACCGATGATGCCACATCGGGAGCAAAACAATAGGGCCCCTTTCTCACAACGTTCTCTGGTATGACCTGGGTTCCACAGCGCCAGCACACATTCAATTCAACGGGAACCCTATTTGGGTCGTGTGTTTCGTATAGTATTGGTCCAAAAGGATTTTCCATAGGTCGAATGGCCTCCAGATCTCGGTAGTATACCGGAGCTGGAGCGCGTGTATACGTGGCGGTCGGTCGGACGGACGAAGTTCTAGTCTGGGAGTAGCGTCCCGTGCTGGTGGAGGGGTGCACGACAGGGGCCATGGTGGTCACCGGTGCTGATAGACCTCGTCTTTCTCCGGAGTGTCGTACCGTGAAAACGGACGAGCGTACGACAGGGGCAGTGTACGTCACTGTTGTGGGGCATCAGGTGACTCTAGGGGTCGTACTGTATTACCTTGTGGGCGGACGAGAGACGTCGTGGAGGTAACTGTAGCTGGTTGACTTTGTTTGGACATGGCGGACGGTCGGACTACTGGAGATCTAGGTTGTCGTACTGTAGTACCTGGTGGGCGTACGTGAGAGGCGGTGGAGGTACCTGTTGTTGAACTTGGTTTGGACATGGCGGTCCGTTGAACTAACGGAGATCTTGGAGGTTGTCGTACTTGGTGTCCCATGCCGAGGGAAGAGCGCACCACAGGGGATGTGGTTACGGGAAAATTTAGGACATAATTCCGTCCTCGGACGGACGACGTGGGACGGCGGCGCTCCGTAGGCTCGAGTCTCAACTGCTCCATCACGTCCTCTTCCAGAGCTGAAACAAAGGATTCGCCCGACGACATCCCGTTCCTCTGTTCTTAACGTTGGGGCGATTATGTCTGGATTACTGGACGGTGGTGACTGGACGGTAGGTTTTTTTTTTTTTTTAATACGACTATTGAGGAGGTGATCTGGAATAATTCAAATTTATTAGTTGATTCGAATTTCAATGACGTATACAGTCAATAAATAGGGTTTAGAGGGAATCTAGGCCTAGGAACAGAAAAAAAATTGTTAAATAACAAAACAACAAAAAAAACAAAAGCCAACTCAAGCTTTTCTAATAGAAAGAAACTCAAACTTGGACTCTCCGACCCAACTCTCTATCACCAAAATTTCTAGGTTTGTCTATTATACTCCTACTTCTCATAGTCCGCTGGGATGGTCACTCGAATGCGGCGCCCTTTGCTGGTTGTCAGCCACATTCGATAGCGTCGAACGGGAGAAGCAGTGGGCGGTCGGAGTGCGCGGATCGCCTCTCTGAGTTCAAGGTTCCAGGTTCCGGGCGTGGCCTCTATTTGGTCAGCTAAGTTGATCTGTGATTGTTTGGAAGTGGAAGGGACGGGCGAAGAGGGTGTTGACGAGTCCGTGGCCTGTGTTGGAGGTTGGGCAGTGGGTAGGTTCGGGGGTCGGACTTGGATGTTGGATAATATTATGATTTTCGGGAGAACGTCGGTCGGAGGGATTGAAACTAATGGCAAGGGAAGTGGCGATTTGTTAAACTGGCTCACCATCTCCCGTATACTCTGTGTCCGGAGATTTCTTTCCCGCCGCACCCGTTCAACTTCGCTCCTCATAGCATATAAATGTCCTATGGGTGGAGCTCCTCTCGGCGGTTCTCCCAAAAATCGTCGGGACATGTCTAAAAGAAAAAATACATGTGTGTTTGTGTGTGATTTCTTTAGTAAGCGGGTTTGAGGTCTTTAATATGAATTCTCTGTAATTTGCGATTATTTCGATCAACCAGATCATAGACCACGGGCGAAAGTTTTCGGGTGATGGTATACGGGCCAGAATACTTTGGTGCGAGTTTAGCTGCAAACCCTTTCACTGCAGAAGACAAGGGATGCTCTTTCTTCATCACTCGATCTCCTGGTTTACATTGCCATTCTCTTCTACGCAGATTATAGTAGCGACTCTGTGACGCGAAAGCGCGTGACAAATGTATCCGAACCAACTCGAATGTTTCTTGTAGGCGATTTAAACGATTTTCGTTGTGTTTAACATCAGCAGTGGTCGGTTCAGGATCTTCGGACGGGATGAACTGTTGTTCGTCGCGTAGGTGTGTTTTTGGTGCTTCTAGCTCTCTACCATAGTTCAGGAACGCAGGGGTGAAACCAGTGGAGTCGTTACGAGACGTGTTGAAGGCAAAGATCAGTTCGGAGAGATGTGTATCCCATTTCTTGTGATCGCCCTCGCAAAACTGAGCAATCATCGTTTTGATCGTCTTATTTGCTCGTTCTACGGGATTAGCTTGAGGTGTATATGGTGGTGTAAATCGATGATTTATTCCAAATTCTTTCAGAAGTTGCCGGAACGGTTGACCAGTATACTGCGTGCCATTGTCGGTGATGACCGTGGCCGGTCTCCCCAAAACGCATCAGAATTTCGTCGTATAAGGCTTGGCTCACTGCCTTGGCAGTAGCGGTTCTGATAGCCTTACAGACAATCCATTTGGTAAATCTGTCTTGGAAAACTAGAACGTAACAGTTGCCTTTCGTAGACCTCGGCAATGGCCCCACTAAATCTGAACTCACAGTTTCCCACGGGCCTCGGATAGTCGTTGGTTGCATTCTTCCAGGCGTCTGTTGTTGAGATGTTTTATACTCTTGACAAGACCGACATCTTCGAACATATTGGGCGATGTCGCGAAACATTCCTGGCCAGTAATAACGGGCAGCTATCCGGGATGTAGTCTTGGCAATACCTAAGTGTCCAGCGGTGGGTTGATCGTGATTTTCTTGTAGAACTCGGGGCCGCGCTGATTTTGGAACACACAGTTTCCATGGGTCTTGCATTTCAGCCTCTTTGGCATCTGTCATATCTAAGAAGTGTCGGAAAAGTTTTCCGTCTCGGACACAGAAGTCGGGGAAATAGATCTGGGTGACTCTGTACTTCGGATCTTTTCTTCTCATACCATGGACAAATATCAGTCTCAGAAATAGTCAGCAATTCTTCTTCGGATGGCGGTGGATCGGTAGGGTTTCGGGACAGCGCATCCGCTATCTTATTGAGCACCCCTTTCCTGTATCGAATTTCAAAATCATACTGCTGTAGATAAATACTCCATCGGGCCAGTCTACCACTTGGATTCTTCAGAGAGTGTAGCCACCTGAGCGACTGGTGATCAGTGATTACCACGAAGCGATACCCCTCAAATAGGGTCTCATCTTTTCGATACCCCATACTATGGCTAGACATTCCTTCTCCGTGACTGTATATTTCTTTTTCGGATGAGGTAAGACTACGGCTAGCATAGGCAATGACATGATCACCATCATGTAAATGCTGAATCAAGGCCGCTCCCAAACCATTATCGCTGGCATCAGTTTGAAGTACGAATGGTTTCTGGAAACTGGACAAGTCAGAACTGGCGCCTTTGTCAAGCATTCCTTGAGCTTTTCGAAATCTCCCTCTTGATCCTCTTGCCACTGCCATTTGCTATTCTTTTTCAACAAGTTATTGAGGTTTCGCAATTTGTGAAAATCCAGGAACAAATCTTCGGTACCAAGAAGCTATACCTAGAAATCGTCGAAGACTTGTGACATTTGTCGGTGTAGCTAACTCCAAAATAGAGGCTACTTTATCCGGATTGGTTCGAATACCTTCTGGTGTGACCCAGTGTCCTAGATAATTCAGAGACTTGCGACCAAACTGACATTTTTCAGGATTTAATTTTAGGTTTGCTTTCTTCAAACGTCGAAAAACTTCTTCCAGGTGAGATAAATGTTCTTCAAAGGTCTCTCCTAGTACAATAATGTCGTCCAAGTAGGCAAAACAGTAAGGATCCAGCTCAGGTCCAATTATTCGGTCCATTAGTCGCTGGAAAGTGGCAGGTGCTGAGTGCAGACCAATCGGCATCACTTTAAAATGAAACAACCCTCTGGTAGGTAAGGTAAATGCCGTTATTGCCCTGCTTTCTAAAGTAAGCGGTACTTGCCAATATCCTTGTTTTAGATCAATACTGGATATGTACTTTGCCTTACGGAGCTTGTCCAGGATCGCATTTATATACGGCAATGGATAAGCATCTTTCCTCGTCACAGAGTTAATCTTCTGAAAATCCACGCAGAAATGATAACTGTTATCTTTCTTCTTTACCATTACAATCGGGGAGCTCCATGGACCATCGGAGGGTTCAATAACTCCGTCTTCGAGCATTTTGTCCACTTCAGCGTCTATAGTGGCCTGCATCTTCGGGTTTTGCGGTCGGTATCTCTGTTTAATAGGGTCTTTCTTTATTAGCCGGATTTCATGTTCCACCAGTGGCGTAGTACCACGAATATTCTCAAACCAGGAAGCTCCTGTTCCAGGAAAGACTGGAGTTTTACTTCTTCGGCTCTTGAAAGGTCTGGAATATCCAAGTTATCCGAGACAGTACAAAGTGTCGTGAAGTCGTTCTCCGTTACTACTTGTCCGTTCAATCTTACTTGAGGTGTCTGTAAATCTATATTAAATCGGTGCTTTCGCAGAATATCCATTCCAATCACGACTTCGGGCACCAGACTCTCCAGAGTGTGGAATACTTCATTCAAAACCTGATTTCCAATCTGGAATTTAATTTTATAGGCCTCGGAAATGGATTCGTTGGTACCGTTGGCAAGGGTTGCTCCCTTAGCGTTGGCTTGACTACAGTTGCTTTAGAATTACGGCACATTTGAGTCAAATTCTTTCCAATAAACGAATTGGCCGCCCCAGTATCCAGGAGGGCTGTATATTCGATATTCCGGTACCGGATCTTGAGGGTCGGGCGATTGTCGTATCGTAAAATGGGCGTGGTTTCGCTGCTTCGATTCGTCAAGGATCCGCGCTGCACCGAGGTTTGCGTGCAGCGCTGAGCTAGTTTCCCGAGCGGCCACATGGACAATCTCTTGACAATACTCCTTTTGTTTTACATCGGGAGCAAAATATTTGCGGCTTCTGCGTACAATCAGTACGATAATGCCCTGTCTGACCACATCTCCAACAGATTACGTTAGAAGTGGCAGGGGATGTTGATGTTGCAGCGTTGAGGGGTCTACGGGGAGGGGTAGACATGTGTCTTGATCCATTCTGATTTGTTCGTTGGTTCTGAATAACATTTGTATGGTTACTGGTATTCGGATAATCTTCAGTCCTAACGGCTCGCCGGGATTCACGATTTGGCCTCGTTTCGACGGTATCGGTCGGTACGTTATCGAACGCTACTCGTCTATGAGACGTCTGTTGAAGTTCGTTTCTCAGTAGTTCAAACTCCTTGGTGACTTGTGAAAAGGTCGAAATGTCATGGAAATCTCCTCTTCGGACATATTGACGATATTCCGGCAGTAAGTTTCGATATAACCATTGCAATTCTTGACTGGGAGATATGTTGCCATGACGGCGGATCAACGTTTGAAGGTCCGTGATATATGCTATGACGGATTCATTTGTACGCTGTACTCGGCGACTTATTTTGGCCTCCAAATCGACTTCATAATTAACAGGATAGTAGAAAATCCTAAATTCTCTTGTAAAGTCTTCCCAGTTCCTGTAATTGCCTCGGTTATTGCGGTACCAGAGTGCAGCTTCTCCTTGTAGAACTTCGGGTAGCTGTGGCAATAACCGATCTGGCTGAATGTTTTGTGCCGTACAAATTTCTTCGAGTCTCTCCAGAAAAGTTGCCGGGTCGGAACGCCCATTATAGGTCACTCCCCATTGACGAATATTTAATGGACTGGAAGTATAACTATGCGATATTCCAGTATTAGGTAGCAAGGATAGTTATTAATCATAGGAGCGGACATCACAGGTGCAGGTGTGATACCCGTATCCAGAGGCAAATTATAGTCAAACATCGTAGCAGCAGACATAGCATTTTGAGCGGTCGGTGTAGGTCGGGTTGTTGACACTGTTGTAGTGACAGTAGTGGTTGTAAGGGTAGCGATAGTACTGACGGTCGGTATGGTAGCACCATTTCCAGAAAAATCAAAAGGTTGCGTCCTAGGTTGTGGACTGGAATGACCATCTCGAATAAACTTCACAATCCTCCTCCGCATTTCTTCAAGTGTCCCTGTATTACACAAACCAAAGCGTGTCAATTGTGCAGCCAATTCGGATTTCTTTAGCAAATAAATCCACCCTGTGCGAGAGTCAGAATCCGTGCTTGGACCTGGTGGTACTAGGTTCTGTGTTGTAGGCATAAATCCGGTTTCACTAATGTCATCGGTGTCCCCGATCGAGTGAAAATCTTCTTTGGCCTCCATCTTTGGTTTTTCCCCGGTCTGTTACTCTTGACTGTGTTTAGAAAACTCACGCTTGACTGTTGTATTGTTTTCTTGTCACCCCTTCTCACACTGTTCCGGTAGCTTTCCTAGCTTTTCCTGGCTTTACCCGGTTTCTCCTTCTTTTGAAATGTCCCTGCTCGGGCGCCAAATTTTTGTAAGGCTATTTCTTTGGTTCTGTGAAAAATAGCCTTATTGACGCCTAGTGGTAAATCTAGATCTCTCGGGCGCCACCTCTGTGATTTATAGTGGCAGAGGCCCACGTTTGCCAGTACGGGTAGCCTTTAAACAGTGGAGACTCCAGGTATGAAGGGGTGCAGGTAAAGTCAAAATAAAACAATCAGTTTAAATTAAAATAATATAAACAATCTTTATTAACCTCAAATTCGTTGAGAAGCAGCCGTAAAGTCTTGGCTCAGGGGTTTCGCGCAAAATGGCGCGGAGTAAGGTTCTACGCAAGCGCGAGACTTTCTATTTTTCTAACCAAGGGCGCATGCGCGGCCCTGAAATGCAGACGTAGATGGATGGATAGCTCACCCTAGTATTTGCGGTCGGGGAATGTACTGCGCATGTGTTAACTTTCGAAAGTTAGGATGACTTTCGAAAGTCGTCTGATCCTAACCCAGCGCTTCAGTCAGCTACGCAGTGCCTTGTTACTTTCTAAAGAAACGGGCACCGCATGCGCACCGGGACGAAGACGGCAGGCGGCCTCCTGACGTCTGTCGGGTAGCGCAGGCGTGGCAAGATCGCGAAATCAAAAAGTTACTAGTTAAACCCTATCTTAACCCGGAGACGAAACTTGTTTTCGTTTGTTCACTAGCCCACAATCTAACCGTACGTGAAAACAGCACCCCACGGTCAAAATTGTAGGTTTTTCACGCTTTCCTTCAATCACGGATGGATTAGGCACAGGAAACGCCTCCCGACAGTACTTGTGAAAGTACTGACCAAAGGACGCCACCTACTGCTCTGCCTAGTCAGCCACCTTTTGAAAGACAGAGAACGGCCTTTCACAATTTAATGTAAAGCCGCTCACCGCTTTTCCGAAGGCGTTGGCTAAGACACACGTTCACGTGATTGAGTGAGGAAAACTGAAAGGAAAGTTTTCAAACGACAAGCTTCACTTGATGAAAAACGTGGCGTAGCACTACACTAGAAAAGACACTGCGCAGGACAGGATATTGCGGAGAGTAGTCGGGTGAGCACTTTCTAGAAAGCGAGGCTTTCTATCGAGTTTTACCTTCGGAGGAGCAGAGTTCAGCTGTCGTCTAATCGCCAACCCAGGTACCAAGCAACTGCCTACTTTTGATTTTCTAACGGTACTGCTCTCGTCTACCGGAGTGGGGAAAGCAGCACACAGTGGGGACAACGGCGCGCGCCGTATCCCCGCCACTATCGATCGATACGAACCAAGACTCTACTGCTTGCTTTTAACAAAATAATCATTTTATAAATAATTTGATAATTACAAGCTAATTAATTTAATCACTACAAATTAATTATCACAAAAATTAAGTAACATCGTTACAAAACTTCTAACGCAGGCTCAGCCTGGGACACCCTGTATAAATACTTGAATTTTGTCAACCATTATACATACGTCATTCAATTTTTACAAAATGTGCATTAGAAGTATATCATTATCTAAACAGACCGGGGCCACATTTAGCTTCGCCGCCCTGGGCCCCCAACAGGCTTAGTCCGCCACTGCTTTCCCAGTTTACATCTATGTTGCCACATTTCACGGGAATCTATCATATATTTAGAAGGAATTTAATGAAAAAGTTTTTCATTTATACAGAAGTAAAATTACATTATTTTTTATTATTATATTTCAGTAAAATAAAAAATATATAATTACTTAGTATAGTTTGTGCAATAAAAGTGTCACAAAGTCTGCATTTTATGGTATATTCTGCGGGGATTTTTTTTTCGGAGACGAATTTTCCTTTCTTCAAATTCATATCCACCCCATATTGTTTGCAGAAGACATTTATTCTTTGAAGTAGGTTCATCATTTATGTATAATTTTCATCTTTAGTTACAGACTTTATGTTTAGATTTTTTTTAAAGAAGTTTTGCTAGGGTAGTAATTTAGTTGGGCAAATTATTATATATTTTAATTTGATTAGGGACCCCTACAGGGGTTTACATTTCACATTTTATATTGTGTAAATAATTTTCCAGGATGTGCAATTCAGCATTTGGTGATGAAGATGGCAAAATTCTTGGATATTTTTCGAATTTCGTCTATAGTTGCGAAACGTCGCGCTCTAGCGAATATTTCGTTATTACGTAAATCTGAGTTAACCTTCGAGCGGGAGCGTCCGGAATTTTATACCGCAATTTTACTAATTTCGTTAAAACAAAATATCCATTGGGCGTAGGTCGGTGGTGCCATTAAATATTCTTATTTAGGGATATTTGACACCCTGTAGCCTGTAGTTAGTATCCAGCGATTTTGGTTAGGTTAGGCTTTCCAACACTTCTTTCCAAGTGACCCCTCTAATTTGATTGGTTAAATTGGGTGATGGTACCTTTTAGGTATATCGCCAATCTTGAAGTTATTGATGTAAATTTGATATTAATATGTCCTACAATTAATGTTTTAACGTTTTAAATACGACCGACGATCCGTATTTGTTAATAAAACGTACTAAATGTTTGAGATCACTTCAATAAAATTATTTATTTTTTGACCAAATTTGAGGTTAGAATGTAGCTTTCTCTGTTAGTTTAATAAGAGTGACAAAGAAGTTGATAATAATAGATATTATCTCTCCAAAAAAGCCTATATGGGTTTTTCGCCACTGCAAGAAAATCTACAAAATAAAATAGTTATTTTATGTAAACACTTCTGCGATAATCCCAAACGGAAACTACTTGTCAGAAGTTAGGTTAGGTTTAAAGATATGCAAATTTGCTTAACGAACAAATAAATGCTTAACGTTTCGGAAAGTTTATTTTCATCTATGTTAGGTTGAGAAGCGTTCGCCGTAACCGAGTTTTGATTGCTTTGGTTTCAACATTTTTGGAGGGTTTCGTTTTTGGTATTATTTATGGACGATCCGCACTTTTTTTGTTAGAAAATTTCATTATAAGTGTTCCTCTTTCCCTCCTTCTCAATTCTGTATAGAAAATTTTAAAATTTTGATGTACCGTAAAATGGGGTGAATAGAAACAGTTTCGTAGGCTATTAGCGATATACCGGTTGATAAAAAAATGTGGTATTATTTTCCAGAATATTTTAAAACATGGGTCTTTGTTTGTTCTTTGCGTATACATATAATTTGATTTTTGAAAAATATGCATATAAATATTAAATAAAAATAACATTTGTGTTTCTATTCACCTGCTATTCGGGAGAATAGAAACACACATTGATGTTAAGGTTTTTATCTATTATACTTCCAACAAGGTGATTAGAAACAGTAAATTATTACATATTTAAATAGGTTTAACAATCATTAACAATACATATAATATAACAACTTACATTTAACAGCTTATGTATTACTTTAAAAATAAATATTTTATTTATAAAGTTTTCGCGCCATACAAAATAGGTTTGGTTTGGTTTGGTTAAATCGATCTCACATTTATTGATCAGTTGATTGACAGAAACAGTGCTGCCACAGATAAAAATATAGTTTTTACATTTTATTGTGTATTACCAATGATAGAAAAATTAGATATGTCGACTCTTTTTACTTTGAATATTTTTAATCGTGATTTGATTTTTTTCAGAAATTTTGTTTCTATTCACCACTATGTTTCTATTCCCCCCATTTTACGGTACCTGAAAAGTTGTAAAAGTTGTATTTGACCCGTCAAATTGTATTAAAAGGACAGATAATAATTGCCATTGTAAATGTTCATTCGTTGGACAGACTATTATTATTCTATTTTTATTTCTCTTCTAGATATTCCGGTGCAGATATCAGTATAGTGGTTAGAGATGCGCTGATGCAACCGGTACGGAAAGTACAGACCGCCACGCATTTCAAGAAAATCAGAGGTCCCAGTCCAAAAGATCCGAATGTTATAATGGATGATTTACTGATCCCATGTTCGCCCGGTGATCCAGGAGCAATGGAAATGACCTGGATGGAAGTCGACGGTGATAAATTAGCCGAACCTCCAGTTACAATGGTATAGTATAATTTAAATTTATTATTTATTATTTTATGTTATAGTATAATTTAAATTTATTACTTATTATTTTAATATTGTTACTAGTGTTGTAAAATGCTTGGGAATATATTTTTGGGGGGAACGTTCTTTGAGAACCAAAGAGAACAAACGAGCAAATATCTAATTAGCCCAAAGAAAATAAGTTGGAAAATTAATGAGTTACTTTTTAAATTTTATTTTGAATTTTCTTTTTTTGTCTTATTATTTATAATAATAATAGCTCCCGTATATAGCGTTTAACGCCTTGGGAGTAGCAAGGTTCAGTTTGCCATGCTAGGGCCGATCGGTATACAAGGAAGGTAACGTTGCTAGCACTACGCTTCAACCGCCTATTATAACCTCAGGATTGTGAATCCCAAGTATTCATTTAAGGCTGAGTCGACCTAGGTACTCAAACTATTTTTATCTTGATAAAAATAGTCGGCTGATGAAATGCCAGCTGTAGGATTCGAACCCACAACCTTTAGATTGGTAGACGAGAGCTGTACATCTACGTCACCAGGCAGCATATTCGTAATTCGCCGACACATTAGCCGCTCGTATTATGTCGGGTACAGCGACGGACGACGGTTGCTAAAGTACCGACGTATTAGACTAGTCCCAACCCTTATGCGTCGGTTGTCAACCCTTATTACGAAAACGAAATACTGTTGTCTGCATATTGCATTACAGTATAACTAGGTTATGGTAAATCGAGAACTGTTAGAAAATTATACAAAACAGACTTGAACAGAAATTATCTTTAATACTAACATTAAACGTGCGGTGTATTCCATTTAAAATAAGCAATATGATTTTCAAAAATTTTATGAAGCAATTTTTAATTTGTCATTTTTAGTACAAGTGTAAAAAGTAGTGTTGTGTTATTCCAGGTTAAGGCTTGAGTCTCAAATTTCTTAAGTTCCACTTTTAGTTGGTTTCCACTTGGAAAGCAGAACGGTGCTACCTAGTTAGTAGAGTGTTCTCTTTATAATTTTCATCCCTTGGTGAGCTGGCACCCAGAGTAGGACTTCAAATTAATTGATATTGAGATAATTGCTTTTAACGCTGCTTGACTATCAGATAAGACGGCTATTTCTTGTTTCCGATAGTTCCTATCTAAGACAAGTTGTACGCATCTTTCAATAGCGTATATTTCTACCTGTTAAGCTCAACGCGCACTGCATCAGATCGGACCGGTCAGCAAAGGCGATAGATATAGACCGGCGCCGGCGACTACCAAATATTGCGGCATGTAGAGGCCGCCTATCTATACATATACATACCTACCGACATAGAGACTCCTACCTATACATATCTACGATAGTCGAGTCACCGCCGTCGCGTCGCCGTTTCTGCCCACTGGTTTGGAGAATTTAGTTCTCGGCCCAAACACTCCGATCCCTGGTGGTAAGAGAAGGAAACATTCTCTCATATAAGAAGCCGAGCCACAGAGATATTTCTAGTTGCATTAAGTAGTGGCGATATTAATCTAGATGGCCCAAATGTGGAATGTTATGTTAGTGCGAACTTCATAATTTTTAGATTAATTAACGTTTAGATTTATTTTTAATTGATGCCCTCTAATGGACCACCAGTTCACTTTTGGAATAAAGTCAAATTGTGTCCAATTAACTTACTTTGATTTCAAAAGCACGTAGTTTTCATGGAATATTGGGACACCATGTATAATATACAGGGTGGTCCGAATTGTAATCGGGAACCTTCGGCATAGAGGTGTGTAGTTCGTGAACGAACTAGTTCCAATGAACTATTCCGACCCCGGAATGAAAGAACTAGTTCCCGGGTTCTCAAAGAACTAGTTCCGCAGGACCTATTCCGGGATCGATATTTATAATATTATTATAAATAATATATGCGACGGAGACGGATCGGCCAGCGCGATCGTAGCCCGATGCTAGGCAAGAGTGGGGAGTGCCAGCCGTATGTTATCGGATCCGGACCTAGAGGAACTAAAGTTATAAGATATAAGTTATAAAATATTAAAGTTATAAAAGACTAGTTTACGTACGAATCGGCCAGCACGATCGTAGCCCTATGCTAGGCGGGAGTTGAGAGTGCTAGCCGTATGTTACCTGTCCCGGACCGAAAGGACTGAGAGGAACTAATTAAAAGACTAGTTCACAGGAATCTATTCAGTTGGCAGATCCGATATAATAATACATGGCGACGACGATGGATTCGGCCTTGTCTATTGCCATAGCCGGCGTAATTACCACAGAAAATTGTCGTGGATACTGTTTTTGATTTTTAGTTTGTTCTTTGAATATGTTATGGGAATGTTTCACTTTAGGTCCCTAAAATTAAGAAATATCTTATAAAACGCGAAGTAGATATTCTGAATTTTTAGACAAAAACAAAAAGCTTCAAGTAAGGAAAAATGCAATTTTTCGTAAAATTTTCGTATTATTTGCTCCAATTGATTTGGTAAACCCTGATTTGAGTTTCTTTTTTATTTTTTTTATCTGCAATAAAACTTATATTATGTTTTTAACATACGCCGCAGTTACACGTCTCGTTATATTTCGTACATTATAAAAATTATACAGGTCATACTGTGAATAGTTCTGACTGACAACGACACCCATTCGGGAACAATTGTCAACTAAAACCTAGTTCAAGGAACCTCTGGGGGGACTAGAATTCCTACCTCTACTTCGGCAATATATTCTGCAGATAAAAATAAGTAAAAAAAGTTTATGTCCTAAAATGGCTTCGTTTCAGAGATACAGGGTGTAGAATTTTCACATTTCTATTTCGTTTTTTAATATGCTCAGTTACTTCATATCTACAGAGTTACCCCAGTTTAGTTGCAATTGTAGGCTATCTTGCTTAATAGCAAATATAGAATCTTGAGGTTTTCAAGAATCTTGCCCTAATAATAATAATTTTAAAGTAGTATGAAAATAGCAAATCTACAGTATAATTTTTTCTTGTAGAATGATATGCTGAGGTCCCTAGCCACGTCGAAACCTACCGTAAACGACGAAGATTTAGTGAAACTGGAAAAGTTCATGAAAGATTTCGGTCAAGAAGGTTAATAGGAATAAATTTATTGGCCTAAACAAATTCTATATATAAAAACGTGATTTTTGTCTGTCCAATGTGGTTTCTTCATTCCCCATTTGGATATGTGTTAATAACTTTATATTTTTTTCTCTGAAATAAAGCAAAACAAAATTGTTTTGATCTAAATTATTGTTTTTTGTTCTCAATTTTTGAAATTTAAAACGTGAGTAATCTACACAAATTGTAAAATAAGCTAAAAACGCAAAAAACGGTTGCTTAAACTAGTTTCTAAATGTAAACCTAATTTTTGTATTGTTTTCTAGGATTTCCCGTATGAATCGCCTTATTAGTTTTTATTATAATATATGAAATAGTTTATATTTGTATTTAATAAAGATATTAAATAGTAATTCGTTTTTAACTTACATTTGATACCTCACAACTACCTATAATATCTAATAAGTAACAGAAAAAATAATCTATGTAATTTTAAATTCATACAACAGACAACTGTCACGTCCATAGATAAAAGAAACTACCGTATGATCGAAAAAAACGATGTCCAGTTGGCTGGGAAATGACGATCGATGACATTTCCCATATAAAATGACAGCGATCTTCATTTCATAGCCATCGCTGACGCCGTTTTTATTCGATCATACGGTACTTATTGTCACGTCTAAATTAATGACAACTGTCATTATTTTACATACCAATGTCATATCAATCGCTATGGAATAAATACAATATGATTAAAAAATGGATATACGTTTATGACGCAAAATTTCCTTTTATGTGATAAAGATGGATAAGAGAGTGTGATATACAGGGTCTGGCAATAGTTCTTAGGGCATCTGTAGCTCCTATAATAAAAAAAGTTGGTAATTTTGTTTAAGTGCAAACCTAAAGTATGTACTAGAATGTATTGCAGGAAAGTATCTTAACTTCTATAGGGTGACTCAAAAGTGAGTGGATCGTGATGATTTACTTTAAACACCATGTATATTATTGTATTTTTGGCTTCCTTTCATCACCATCATCCTTTTCAGCACTTTGTATAATCCTAAGATATCAGTAAATCTATTTTGATAGCTTCAGAGATATTAATAAATAATTAAAACATATTTTTCAGCCTTTATTAAAAATACAAGAACTGTACTGAAATCAAAATTATATTAGGTATTTACTTTAGATGGTCTGTACCATAGACTTAAAATAAAATATAGACTACACTATTTACATCTCAACGCGGACAAACAACCTTTTTTGTACACATGTTTACTTCTGGGTACAGTCGACCGAGCCTTCCTCATCCAGCCTATGTTGTCACGTCTTTAATATTATCAATATTTTTTTTCTTGTTATACACATATATTGAGATATTAATACTACAGTTTAATAAAGTAGGTTTTAATATTCCAGAGATGTATTAAATAGTCCTTATACTACTAAATTATAAGTCGGATACTGTTTAAAAAGGATAAGTTCTTTACAATATGACAACACCGATTAGAGGCGAGGGAGCCTATTCATTCATTTATTACCTTGTAGTACGTGTCGCACGTGTGCGGTAAAGCTTTGTTGCCGCTATCTCCCCGGCTGTATTAACGCATTTTCTTAGCTTGTAGTGCTTAAGTGTTTATTTTATTGACTTTTTCTGTTCAAGAACTATAAAATATGGTTCGCCAGTGCCAAATTTGCAAGAAATTTGACTTAAATAATCCATTTAAGTCTTGAAACGACTTTTGACCGGTAGGCAACTCTCAATTTACCCATTGGGAGTCAGTGGCGTTGTTGTAGAAAGGCGCTTATTTAGATAATATTTTAGTAAAATGTAAAATCTGAATTTTTTCTCTTACATTACATTATTTACTTACTTACATTGTAACAAAATCATAATTATAACCCTGTTAATAATTAATAATGTTTTTATTAAAAATATATTCCGGTTTATTCTAAAATTATCTTCAGAATCTAAAATAACATACAAGAATTTTAAAATGATATTACATTATGAAACAATATTTTTTAATATACCGGGTCGTCTCAAAAGTGGCTAACCCTATAACTTTTCTTATTTTTTTCAGAAAAAACAGATTTGTATGTTAGTAGGTGTATGACATAAATTAGGATTTATTGGACGTATTCAATTGTTTTGGTCTCTTCCTGTTTTACCGAAATGATTACATCTTTTATTTTTAAAGGCACCCTCGGTATATTGCTACTTTATTCGATAAAAAATGACACTCTGAATAGAATGACATATCATATGTCAACTTTTGACATTGTCGCTTAAAAACATATCCTATTTTAAATTTCAATCCAGTTTTTTTCAATCCACTAAGTTTTAATCAAGGAGCCTTGGAAAAATAGTTTTGATCGTCTAATAGGTTTCGTGTCTTGTCTAGGCCGGTAGATGTACAAATCGTATTTTTAATCATACATATGTCAATTTTTTCAAATGGAACAAGGGTGACTCATTAGCATATTTGGAAAAAGCATTTTTTTATGAATATATTGATACCACACACTTGGTATTTCCAGTCAAATTGTCGTTATGAACCGCGTGTTACAATTACAATTAAACCATATGCGAAAATGTCAAAAGTTGACATATGATATGTCATTCTATTCAGAGTGTCATTTTCTATCGAATAAAGTAGAAATATACCGAGGGTGCCGTTTAAAAATTAAAAGTTATAGTCATTTCCGGTGACACAGGAAGTGACCAAAAACAATTGAATGCGTCAATCAATCCTAATTTATTTCATATACTAACATACTAAATCTTGTTTTTTTATTTGAAAATATAAAAAAATTATGGGGATGAGCCACTTTTGAGCCGCACCCGGTATAATAAAGACAGTACCGAGTTAAATAAATGTAGTTTTTATTTTATCCACTTCCTATCACCTTCCTTGCTTTAATGGAACAGATTTATGTTTTCTCTAATTTACATAATAAGACATCACTTAACTAGAAAAAAAATTACAACAATCATTTTTTTTTCTCTCCCTGTCGCCGATTCTATTATATCTGTGGAATAGATCCGGTTTTGATTAATATTAGGGGTTGTAAATGTTTGACTAAAATTAATAATTTATTATTAATTTCAAAAATTACGTAATTTCGATTATAAAATTTCTTCTATAACGTGTATTTTATTATGTTTATCCTTTTCGGACTCTAAGACGTTTTTTCTAAACTTTTATGTAAAAAACCTGTCCTAAATCTTAATAAAATATAAAAACGTTTAAATACGATATATTTTTAATTTACTTATAGCTTCATTAAAATAAAAAAATTACCCGGCTATGATACGGAGAGTTCAGGTGTACTTGAGAAACGAAAGACAGTGTTGTGTTTCTCGGCAGAGTCGTCAGGGAACGACCGTTACGACAGAGACAACCTATCTATCGCTCGTGTCGCACTCGTTATAACCTAAAACAATAACACAACAATAACAAGACAGTGTCTGACCGCATGTTCCAGCTATTTATGAATGAGATGCTCAGTCTATATTTTATTTTAAGTCTATGGTCTGTACTTACTTTGCTCTAAATATGAAAATCGTAAATTATACAGGATGTGCAAAATTCTAAGCCAAACTTTCTAAAATATAAAATAAATTTTCTTCGATATTTTAAACGGAACATCCTGTATGCCATTTTTTTAGAAGATGGAGAATTAAAAAATGAACATTTTTTGTATTTACAGTATTTCAAAATTTTTAACGGTTTCGCAGATATTCGCGGTTTTATATTAAATATCAAATTTCATATAGCATTTTACGCAGTAAATTTTTATCAAAGCCACCCAATGATTATTCGCTCGTATTTTACTGTTGAAAAGCTATATGAAATATTTCGGCTTGTATCTGCGAGAACATTAAAAATTTTGAAATACTTTAAATACAACAAATGTTCATTTTATAACTCTACATCTAATAAATAAATAATACAGGGTGTTCCATTTAAAAAAACGAAGAAAAATTATTTTATATTTTAGAAAGTTTGACGTAGAATTTTGAACACCTTATATGATTACGATATTTATAGTAAAGTAAGTAATAAGGAATAAACTAACTATAATATATAAATAACTATATGAAGTAATACCTCATATAGTTTTCATATCAAGACAGTTCTTGTATTTATATTTTTTTAAGGAAAATTGAAAAATATATATTTTTATTTATTTATTAATACCTATCTCTGAAATTACCCAAATTCATTTACTCATATCTTAGTGGGAGCACACAATTCCAAAGCACGAACGAATCATCTTGCTAGGTGACTTTAATGCCCGTGTTGGTAAACAACAGGAAATATGGCCAGACGTATTGGGAAAACAGGGAATGGGAAACGCAAATAGCAATGGTGAACGCTTATTAACATGCGCAGAGTATAATCTTTGCATCACCAATACGTGGTCCATGTTGAAGGACAAGTTTAAAGGTACCTGGAAACATCCTAGATCACGCCACTGGCATCAATTGGACCACATAATCGTTCGAAGGACGCATCTAAAAGATGTTAGGCTCACAAAAGTTAGAATAGATGCCGAATGTGGCACTGACCACCGACTTTTAATTTCAAAAATGAAAATCCAGTTAAAACCCAAACATCCACGCTGTAAAAAGTAAAACAACATGACCAGATTGAACGTACGGGGTCTAGAGAACAATAATACCGCCGACGCCCTCCGGGAAGCCATCAAAGAATCACTTCCACCCATAACTTCAATCTCAATATTGGAAGCTGAACAAGGCTGGACACAATTAAGGAATGCGATTCATAAAACCAGCGAAGCAGTACTGGGAAAGTCGAACAAAAAGAAACAACCAGACTGGTTTAACGAAAATCAACCGCATATACAGGCTTTGTTGGAACAAAAGCATAGAGCACATCAAGCAGTCACTGCAAATCCACATAATCCAAGACTGGCAGACAACTTTAAAGCAGCCAACAACGCGCTTCGAAGAGAACTGCGCCAAGTAAAGGATAACTGGTGGTCACAAAAAGCGAATCAGATTCAAGAGTACGCCACGCATCACGATTATCGTAAATTCTTCGAGGCTGTAAAAGAAGTATACGGTCCAACTAAGAAGATAAGCTGCCCAATCATGGCTCAAAATGGCGAACTTCTAAAAGAGGAAGAACAAATCAGAAATCGCTGGAAAGAACATTACAGCCATATCCTTAACCAAGAAAACAACCCCAATATGGAAGCACTAAACACAATACCTCAGTATTGATGTATTAGACATCCCAATAACAGAACAAGAAATAAAGACCTCCATAAAACAGCTTAAAAACAACAAATCAGCTGGCCGTGACGCGATTCCGGAGGAAATCTATAAGTGTGCAAGTAAAGAACTTATTGGTCATCTTAAGGCTCTCTTTGATGT